TCTAAGCTGTGGACTTTCTTTCTGAACACCTTCAGTGGTTTCCTATTGTTCCCTGTGTCAAGATATACAGTAGTCTGATATCTTCAAGAACAGCCTTAAACACCATGTGTAAATGATCCTGGTAATAATGCAATGAAATGGATCCAATCAAAACACATTTTACTACATTTGCACTTTCCGGTTGTCTGTTTCACTATATTCCATTCAAATTTTGTCAATACTGTATTGTCTTTGTTTACCACAAATCACAACAAGTCACTTATAGAAGAAATAAGCTGACTCTTATATACTGCTGATTAAATAAACTGTGTACATAATCAGTAAGTTACTGTACTATTCTTAAGTGACTCTTATCCTGAAAGGAAAAACAATGTTTTTTTGCCCATGGCTGTGTTGCTCCATTCATTCAGTACTGAAATGTCAGTATGAAAACAAATGTCTAGCTGCAAAGACTGACAATGAACAAATGAGGTGCAAATTAACCAAATTATGAAACCTAATGAGCAAACTTGGAGTGCAGTGCTTTAACTGTATTTCTCAGCAACCCTCCACTGACTCAACTGTTTCATTTTATGAGTTACTTGACTTATTATATTTTGTTGTATAGACTCTGACCTTAATCCAGTTAACCTAATTAATTCTTTGCTAAACATGTGTTGACTGCAATATAAAACCTGAGGTAACATCAACCATTAGTATGCCTATAAATGTGGGCCTGTGTCTCACTGTTCTAAATAATTGGGGCACCAATTTAGTGCATCTTTGACAAATAATAACAATGCTGTAATTTTTTATTAAAAAACTAGATAAAATTTGCAATTACAAACTGCAATACCATTGCCTGAACAAATATTGTCAGAATGGATTTTCCTTGCTAACTATTTACCAGTCAGTACAATACACAGGACAATTAACCTGACCAACATTTTACTGTGTCCTGGTAAATTACACCTGTGTGATCTGCATTAGATTTCCATGGCTAGCCAGTGTGTCCCTGTTCAGATTTGACTAGACAAGACTCAATAGTGTTAGTTGGCTTAAATTTAGAACACTTAGGAAAAATTTTATGGGTTGGTAATTTTTTTTATTTTACATTATCATTTTATTGGCTCACTATCTGCTAATATTACTGTTTCTTTTATTTGTAACAGTTTTTTGACCTGCTCTTCTCTCTGCTTCCTTCTCCCTTATCCTACCCTCTAATCACTCATCCTTACTGTTCCTCCTTTCTAATCTCCTTTCCATACTATTATTTCTCCTCTCCTCCTGTTTCTATTACATATTGATTCTATGTGTACAGTATACATACATTTTGTCTGCCATAAATTTATGGGGCCCTTCAGCATTCATAGATTTATCCTCCCCCATCTCTTCTACTCCTAAATATTAGGTCCTCCAAACAGTTTAGTTTTTCAGTTTGAAGAGCCTTGCATGTCTTCTCAGATGTCAATATGCCAACCACACAAAGCCTAATAATATGACATATTAAGCCTTGTCTACACAAACACACACACACAAAGGCAAATGCACATAGGCACAGGGACACAGACACTCAGGGGAATGAAACAATATAACATTATTATCGGGTGGCTGTAGTGTGTTGTCTGCCCCTCACATCTGTGCCTCAGGCCTTTCCATTATTGCAAACCCTTATGCTTTCAATTCGGACTTTGCAAGTAACCTTGAGTGTGTGTGTCTGATAATCATTTTGCATCTCAAAGGGACTAATGTTTTTACTTGTGACCAAGATAAAGCATACAAAAACACTCACACAAACTGTCTGCTTTCATCCCTAGTGGGGACTGACTTAAACTAAGTTCCTGGAGACTTACCCTCTACAGCGGCCATCCACTGGACAAGCACTGGTATGCCACAGACCAGAAAATATACCCAAGCCCTACTAACTTTAAGTTTGACTTGCCTTCTTGTGACTTGTCACTGTCAAAAAAACTCAAGAGCTAAACTGTATTGTTGAAAATTTGTATTGAAGTTAATATTTAATTAAGCTAAATTAATTATCACTAGAGCCTCTGTATTCTTTAACAATCAAACAGGGATACAACAACAAATAACCTCACTTTGTTGCATGAGAACCTTCCACAAAATTAGGTTTATCCAGCTCTACAAAAGCACAGGAGACAGAGTATTGTTTCCATAGAAACAATGCTGGTGCCAAGTAACTCAATAATTAATCAAGAGGGTGATCAGAGGACAGGAGCTTCGACACACATACTCAAAAACCAGTACCAGTACTGTCTGCTCTCTGTATCAGATACAAAATAAGACTTTATCATTGGCTTTTGTTTATTGGATCATTTCATGGTAGGTAACATGGAAAATATGGGTTTAATTTATATTTGGGCACATGAAATTATGCTTTGGTCCAGGTGCACAGCCATCAAGACACCACTTTTCCAGCCCTACCCCAACAAAGGTGCTGTAAAGCTGTAGCAAATCAGTGATGAATGCAGAAGAGAAGAAAAAGGAGTTGGTGAGTTAATGAGTAAGTAAAAGGAAAGTGATGAGAAAATTAGATCAGTCCCTGCAGGACTCTCAAATAAGGACGTTCTATTAACAGCCACATGTATTGTTAAGAGGACAGCCACAGTCTAAAACTAGAGTGTTCTCCCTTTAGTTTCATCCTCTGTCTCTCTGCTTGAGAGGGGGAAATGGATGAAATGACAGACGTTTTCTCAAAGGAGAGAGAAGCATGTTGCCGCGGGTAACAAACAACCTCAGGGTAAGTTCTTGTTGTCACACACACATACACGACCTCATATCTGTAGACACAAACATTTTGAATATGTGTGTCTGCATAAGAAGATTAGATTATTTTGTGTGTTTTCCTAATAGCAGGCAAGATCTACTGTACCCAATGCTCTGACTCCAATCAGGCAAAAAAAATTACTTTAATAACTTGGTTCCCAACGTCATGAGAATGAGGTTATGAAGAAATATTCAAGTGATTGGATGCTATCAGAAATATGAAGATCCTATTCATCATCTCCCTTCATTCAGACCCCCTCCTGCCCCCTTGTACTCTCTCTTTTTTATTTTTATTTTTTACTGCACCTGCAAATTCACTTGGGTTCTGCAAAGATAGTCCTTCTGAAAATATAAGCTGATAGTCAGAGGACAATGCTCATAAAACAGTCACACATTACAAGAGATGATAAATTATCTTTTAGGTTGAGACTAGCAGATCCTCCTCGTTCAATATGTACACATGATATATCACTAGGAATGTAAAGTTTTCTGTAACTGCACACACAGTTCACACATTTTAATACTTAAAAATAAGACTATGCTAGAACAAACCTGCTACCTGCATTAAGAAATTAACAGCAGAAAGTAAAAGAGGAGAAGCTCATATCTGTGAGCCTGGGTATATTCTACTGGATAGATAATGTGTTGTATCAGTGTCTAGCATTAAAGGAGCAACATGGACATCCTACTGGAATCCTCTTGAAATATCCAACATTAATATGCATTTTACTGTGGTTTGATCCACTAGCTCCTGAGAAAAACAACAACTTGTATCTCAGTGGCTTGTTAGATATTTGTTTCAAAATTAGGCTCCTAGTAGAATGACTCTCTCATTTTGCACAAAACAATGAATCAAACCTGAGCTGTAAGCTGCTCATTCATAGTGTGAACACTAATACTAGCAACTCCACCATTTTATTAGATGTTCAGATAAAAAATAAATAAATAAATTGAATAAACGGAGTGCTTGATTAACCTCTAAACATTACAACACTGGGGATCACTGTTAAGACTGGTGATCTGTCCAGCTTTTACCCTCCTCTTACCAAGTGTCCGCTGGGGTTGACTCCCACCTGTTTTACCTGTATCAGGTGGTGCATGTGATGTGCGGGCAGCTGTGTACCTAATCATGTGGCATCTTAAATAGTTTCTCTGAAGACTCTTCCAGCTAACAGTCCAGAGAAAATCAAACTGTGACTGACATACCTGACATGTTGAGATAACCTGACATAAAGTAACATAAACTGTGTGCCTGGTGCCCCAGTGCTCAAGAAAATATTTTTATACATTGCACATTTTTAAAATTAGGAAGTTTAACTCAGTTTACTGGAGTCTTTTTCCAAAACTTGATCTATTCTGACATGTTACATTAAATATCTTGTCTGTCTGATTTTATTGTATACCCCCTTTCTGTGATTTACTGTATGCCATAAATGTGCTATATGTTAGCCTTAGATGGTTAAGAAGTTTAATAGGTGAAAGGTCACAAACGAAAAGATCAGTGTTTTTATGGCTTTACCTTCCAGCACATGCCTGATAATATGTCTGGATAAGCTGTTGCTAAACAGCTTTTTAAACAAATTATCCCCACTGGGAAAAGATAAATGGATTGTGTAGTCTCTGTAAGAACCTCTCATTTCTCTCTCTGTCTCTCGATTCTCCTCTGTGTGCACATCTGCACATCTCTCTGCTGTATATTTACCATTAAGAGGGACTAAGCATTTCATTACAAGTCTACTGAGCACCCACTGTGTCATTGAAGCCAAAAGCTAGTGTGGCTTTTCTTCTTAGAGATCCTAATAACAGAACCAAAAGAGGTAGCGTGTCTTTGTATGAGTCTGTGTGTCTGTGTATTCTAGTAATACCGATGTAATCGCAGGCTCAAGCCCAATTAGCCTACAGGGTAACTCTGTAATAATCCCTACCCCTGAGAATAATGGCCTATTAAACCAGCGGTGGGCGGAATAAATAAGTGTGGGAGGGTAAGAGAAAGGGTAGGATAGAAGGTAAAGAAATAGAATGAAAGTGGCCTTTCAAGACAGACTTGTCGAGAGTACAGTTCCATTTCAATCCTTTTTAGCCTTAATTATGACTGTTAAAAATTTCAGCTTTGACTGACCATCTTGCTCTGTAGCTGAATATATAGGCTGAAAGATGTAATGCTAACTAAAAAAAAACACTGCATTTAATTTGTGTAATATGTTATAGTGTGGATATATTTGTTACAAACTCACCTGATGATAAGTCTACCCGGTTGTTTCTGGTCGCTGTCCACACATTGATATGAACTACAATCTTGCCATCATCAAGGGAGATCTCAAGTGTGCCATCATCAAGATTGCTGAATAGGAGGAGCCCGTTTGAGTTCCATGTACGAAACTGAAATCCCACAGATAATGTATTGTGACTGGCTCGACCTGGCAGCTGCAGGAAGCTGGTGGCATTGAAAAAGACTGGGAAGGTGTGGGTTTCCACGCAGGAGAATGTCAGGTTACGCTGTTAAAACAGATTTAGAAAGACAAAGAGGAATAAAAGGAAGTTATCAAGTGTTCTTCAAATAGAAGAATTCACAATCAAAGGTAATCCCTTGAAAGTGGCCACGTATGTGAAGTTGCTTGAATGTTTTAAATGCACCCAACACTTTAGAAAATCATGTTATTTATTCAAGTTGCTTTTCTGGCTTTGAATCGAGTGTCTGCATGTTTACCTTCAGATGTGCCTGACTGAAGCTAGATTCAAAGACTGAGGTTGCTTTTACAGATTACAAAAATGTATGTTGTTGTTTTTTTTTGGCTCACTCTGTTTTTAAAACAAGATTTGAGCAGTAAGCTAACAGGTGCTGTTGTCCTGGAGGAAAACAAACACTATTGTGAAATTTAGGCACTGATTACCATTGAGCTTCTTCTTCTAATCAAATCATTAGCAAATGCACAACACTGAGCTGCCTTACAAACCCTAGATGATTCCCGATTGCATCTGAGTGTGTGTGTTCTAAAAGTTGAGAGGGGGATCTGTTTTGATTAAAAATGAATGGCTATGAAAGTCATCAGAGAGAATTAGAGGTGCGGCTTAATGAACTTTATTGGTGCATCCATTTGTTCATCAGTTCACCAGAGATCAAAGATAATACACTGGCAGTCTACTGTTGAGAAGGAGCAAGAGATCGGAGAGACATTATAATCTATCAAAGACACTTCGGTAACTAATTTTAAGGATGGCAAAACATTTAATGTGCTGAAGTTACATCCAGCAGTCATCCAGAGTGCTGTCCATTTGATGAGGAGAAATAAAGCATTTAATAGGCCCCGTATTCTTTTGAGATAGTTGAAAATAAACTGAGCAGCTCTGTCTTTGTAGGCTGCAGTGAATGGCTGTCATAATATCAAGAGGAAGCACAAAGACATGAGAAAAACCGAGAGGCCACAGATGGGTTAGTTGTATCTGATCAATTATCAATCTGTTAGACTCTTTTGTTGCAGTGTATAATTTGCCCCCTCACTCAGGTCAAACAGAGTTAGTGTGAAGACAATGAACATGTTCAGTATTTAGTTGCCTTCATAAGCTTGCTATTTCAGACTATATCCATCCATCTTCATCCAAGACCAGGTCGCGGGGGCAGTAGCCCAAGAAGAGCCTCCCAGACTTCCCTCTCCCCACACACCTCCTCTAGCTCCTCAGGAAGAACCCGAAGGCAACCCCAGGCCAGCCAGGAGGAATAGTCTCTCCAATGTGCCCTGTTTCTGCCCTGAGGCCTTCTGCCGGAGGGACATACCTGGAATAGCTCCCCAGGGAGGCATCCAGGGGGCATCCTAAACAGGTGCCCAAGCCACCTCAACTGGTTCCGCTCAATGTGGAGGAGCAGCGGCTCTAATCTGAGCTCCTCACAGGTGACTGAGCTTCGCACCCTATCCCCAGCCAGTCTCCGTAGGAAACTCATTTCTGCCGCTTGTATCTGTGATCTGGCAAGCCCCAGACTGTCAGGATTGGCAATAGGATTTCAGCCAGCATTTTTACAAACACTGGCACCCCACAGGGATGTGTCCTCAGTCACATCCTCTACACCCTGTTCACCCATGACTGTGTTGCCTCCCACAAAGACAACATCATCCTGAATTTCGCAGATGACACCGTAGTGATTGGCGATGGATATAGCACATGCTGGTTTCCCCCATTTCCCCTCTTCTTCTCTGCTCTTTCCCGTTTCCTCTCTGTCATCCTTCCTCTCCTGTCACCTTGTCCTCCTGGGCCACTGGGAGGCGCTGCAACACAGCTCTCTGTCTCCAGCCTGACTGAACCACCTGACAAACATTTGACTACCAAATAATTGCTGGATATCAATGCTGCAAGGACCCCAGTTATTGTGTCCCGTGTGGCAACCACTTTACCCGGGCTACAAGAATAAGCTCACAGACAATGTCAGAAGAAATTCGCCGAGATCAGACTCAGGGATGAAATAAAACGAGTCGTGAATCTCATTCATTACACAACCATTAGTCCACCTGCTGTCCAAAATAACATACAACACAACGAGCCATTTGAACACTCACAAAGATGTGCATAAAAACAGTGTTTGACAGGAAAAACTAATGAGACATTTGTGCAAATTTGGTGAGTCAGGAAAACAGCTCCAACAGATGATCTGAGAGAAGCTCACTGCCATTTATTGACCTTAAAGCTCCACTAGCACAAATACTGAGTAATGTTACAGGAGTTTATTACCAGGACATACATCATGTACTGATGACCTGTACTGTTTACATTCTCAGTTTGCACATGCATAATTGCACATTGACTGTTGACTGCTGCACATGCTGCTCCCATGTAGCATACATTGTTTTATTATATTCTTATATATTTTTATTATATCGCTGCATTTGCTCCTTAAAGTGCCTCAGATTTTGTGTTACTTATTCATCCATTTCATATTTCATTTGTATTTTGTGGCATTCATGTGGACGGCAAAGTAAGAATTTCATTGTACAGGGAAACATGTTTCCTAACTGTGCATATGACAAAATAAACACTTTGAATTTTGATCTCATTCTTTCAGTCATGATCCAAAGTTCATGGCCATAGGTGAAGGTAGGAACATAGATCGACCGGTAAATTGAGAGCTTCGTCTTACGACTCAGCTCCTTTTTCACCACAATGGACCAGTACAGAGACCGCATTACTACGGATGCTGCACCGATCCGTCTGTCAACCTGCCGCTCCATTTTTCACTCACTCCTGAACAAGACCCCGAGATACTTAAACTCCTGCACTTGAGGGAGCAACTCACCCCCAACCCGGAGAGAGCAATCCACCTTTTTCCAATTGAGAACCATAGATTGGAGCCTTGGATTGGGGGTGCTAATTCTCATCCCCCCCTCTTCACATTTGGCTGCAAACCCCTCCAGTGCACATTGTAGGTCTTGAACTGATGAAGCCAACAAACCACATCATCCACAAAGAGCAGAGACGAGATTCTGTGGCCACCAAAACAGACACCCTCCGTTCCCTGGCTGCACCTAGAAATTCTGTCCATAAAAATAATGAACAGAATCAGTGACAGAATCCCCTCCCTGGAACCGACACCTTAATGTGGTGGAGGGGTTTGAGTGCCTGAATGATCCCAGGAGCTATGTTGTCAGGGGCTATATGTCCCTGGAGCCAGGCCTGGGGGAGGGGCTCACGTGCGAGCACCTGGTGTCCTTGCCTATATCCACGGGGCCTGGTCGGGCTCAGCCCGAAACCATAACGTGGAGCCGGTGGCCCCCCCACCGGCTGGAGAGGCTGTAGGGGGCCAGTGCATTGTGTTTTTGGCAGTGGCTGGGGCCAAATGCCCAGCCGACCCAAGCCTCGGACACCAACTCTGGTTTTTAGGACTTGGAATGTCACCTCACTGGTGGGGAAGGAGGCTGAGCTGGTGCAGGAGGTACTGGGATATTGGAAGGAACGGCCTCCCTGATCTGAAACCGAGTGGTGAGTGGTTATTGGATTTCTGTGCTAGTCATGGTCGATCCATATTGAACACCATGGTCAAACATAGGGGTGTCCATCAGTGCACATGGCACCAGGACATCTTAGGTCGGAGGTCGATGATTGACCTTGTAGTCGTTTCCTCTGATCTTCGGCCATATTTTTTGGACATTCGGGTGAAAAGAGGGGCTGAAGTGTCAACTGATCACCACCTGGTGGTGAGTTGGATTCGATAGTGAGGGAAAAAGCTGGACAGACCTGGCAGGCCCAAGCGTATAGTGAGGGTTTGCTGGGAATGTCTTGTGGAAGCCCCAGTCAGCGAGGTCTTCAACTCTCACCTCTGACAGAGCTTCAAACAGGTCTCAAGGGAGAATGGGGACATTGAGCCGGAATGGACTATGTTCCTCAACTCCGTTGTCGGGCAGCTGCTGGGAGCTGTGGCCGTAAGGTCTCCGGGGCCTGCTGTAGCGCCAATCCCCAAACATGGTGGTGGTCACCGCAAGTAAGGGATGCCATCAAGCTGAAGGAGCCTTATCAGGCCTGGTTGGCTCATGGGACTCCTGAAGCAGCTGGCAGGTACTGACAGGCCAAGCGGGATGCAGACCTGGCAGTCGCCATAGCAAAAACTCAGGCCTAGGAGGAGTTTGGTGAGGCCATGGAGGAAGACAGTTGGCTTCAAAGAGATTCTGGAGAACTGTCCAGCAGCTCAGGAGGGGGAAGCAGTGTTCTGTCACTCCACTTTGCACTCAACAAAAACACTTTCGTTCTTATTGACTGTATCTCCACGCATAACTTGGATGTATGTTTCCTCACTGAGACCTGGCTAACACAAGATGACAATAGCCTGTTTTCACAGCTCCTTCCGACTGGATATTCCTTTTTTAACACTCTGCGCCCCATTGACAGAGGCAGTGGCTTGGCCTCTGTTTTTAAGCCTACTTTAAAATGCCGCCTCCTCCCTTCCAAGATCTTTTCCAGCTTTGAGGTACAAATTTTTGTTTTAATGCTGCATTGTCCTACCTTATGTGCAGTAGTTTACCGCCCGCCTAAATCTAAGGATTTTGTCAAGGAATTTGGGGAATTCTTGGCGGAGCGTATCCCACAGTTTGACAGTTTTCTGATCTGTGGGGACGCAGGGTGGCCAGGCGCACCCTTAGAGATAGGGTGAGGAGCTCGGTCACCCCGGAGGAGCTCAGAGTAGAACCGCTGCTCCTCCACATTGAGAGTAGCCAGCTGAGGTGGCTCGGGCATCTGTTTCGGATGCCTCCTGGGCGTCTTCCTAGGGAGGTGTTCCGGGCATGTCCCACCGGGAGGAGGCCCCGGGGAAGACCCAGGACACGCTGGAGGGACTATGTCTCTCGGCTGGCCTGGGAACGCCGCGGCATTCCCCCGGAGGAGCTGGAGGAAGCGTCTGGAAAGAGGGAAGTCTGGGCATCTTTGCTTAGACTGCTGTCCCTGCAACCCAGTTCTAGATAAGCGGAGGAAAATGGATGGATGGATGGATGGTGATTTTAACATCCACGTTAATCGTTCTTCTGACCAGCTAGCGAATGATTTTAATTCCCTATTCGACTCTTTTGATCTCTCCCAATCAGTAGTTTTCCCCAATCATCAACGTGGGGGCACACTTGACCTCATCATCTCACAAGGATTGTCTGTGTGCATTGGGGCTGTATCAAATATGGCTATTTCTGATCATTTCTTTGTCCATTTTGATGTCCTGGTTCCGTTAAGTGCATCTAGGCTCACGACCCTACGTCAGTGTCGCAGGATTCTCACCCCTTCAACAGCCTCTGATTTTGCTCCTGCCTTTGTAGTCTCTGACTTTTATTCTTCAGAAGCTCTGAAGCCTCCTACGTGCCCTGATGCCTTTCTCTCCTCATTTGACTCTACATGCTCTCGGATTATGTATTCCATCGCACCCTTCAGGAAGAAGATAGCTAGAATCACTCCTGCCCCATGGCTAAATGACACCACCCATGCATGGTGGAGATGCTGCAGGCAGGCTGAGGAAAAAGGATGGAAAAATTTTGGCCTGCACGTCTCCCTGGGCTTTTTAAAGGACTGCTTGGATACCTATCAGAAATCTGTAAAAGATGCTAAAACTCAATACCTATCCAACATTATCTTGAAGAATGCTCATCATCCTAGAGTTCTTTTTAATACCATAAAATCCGTGATTAATCCTGCTGCTATTCTGTCTAATGAGGGGTTGGTTCAGATTTGTAATAAGTTCCAAAATTACTTTATTGATAAAGTTTGGGCCATTAGACAGAGTATTCCTAAGACTACTCCTACTGTACCAACTGTCCCCCCGTCCAGTTTACCGTACCTTGGAAACTTTTACTCCAATTTCTTTGCCGCAACTTAAAAAATATGTGCAACAGTTAAAATCTACTTACTGCCCTCTCGATCTTGTCCCTGCCAGGATAATTAAGGAGGTCATTGACATTGTTGGACCTGCTCTGGTCACATTTGTTAACAGCTGCCTCAGGTTGGGCAGTGTCCCTTCCGCCCTTAAGTATGCCACTGTGAGATCTCTCCTTAAGAAGCTTAATCTTGACCCCACTCTTCTGTCCAATTTCCGCCCAATTTCTCTTCTGCCGTCTTTATCCAAGATTTTGGAAAAAATTGTCTTTTTTCAGCTACAGTCTCATTTGGAATGCCTGGATGTTGTTGAAATTTTTCAATCATGTTTTAGGCCTCGTCACAGCACTGAATCTGCATTATTGAAGGTCCATAATGATATTACTCTGGCTCTCGACGCCAAGCGCCCCGTTATTCTAGTTCTCCTTGATCTATTGGCAGCGTTTGATACCGCCAATCATGCAGTTCTTCTCTCCCATCTGGAACATTACGTTGGCCTGAGAGGCGTGGTCCTAAATTTTGTTTACGTCTTTCCTGACAAACATTACCTTCTCTGTTTTTATTGACGACTATTTCTCCACCACAGCTCCTCTTTCTTCCGGCGTCCCCCAAGGCTCGATTTTGACCTCGTTACTCTTCTCTTTATATATGTCTCCACTTGGTTCAATCATTTCGCAGCACAATGTTCACTTTCATTTTTATGTGGATGATGTTCAGATTTACTTGCCGCTGATCCAATGTGATTCGAATGCCCTCATCCCGTTGCAAAACTTCTTTCGTGATATTAAACACTGGCTATCACAGAATTTCCTCCACTTAAATGAAAGTAAGACTGAACACATCGTTTTTAGTCCTGACTCCTCTGTTTCTGTACCTAATTTAGGTGCCTCAGCCCCATTATTCACTGATACTGTGAAAAACCTAGGAGTACTATTTGACAGTAGCCTCAGATTTGACAAACAGATTAGATCTGTGGTCAAAACCAGCTTCTTTCACCAGAGGCTCTTAACCAAGGTGACGCCCTTCCTGTCGCATGTGGATTTAGAAAAAGCCATTCATGCTTTCATCACTTTGTGACTTGATTACTGCAATGCCCTTCATATAGGAATCAACCAATCTTTCTTTCGAAAGCTTCAAATGGTACAGAACGCTGCTGCTCGTCTACTGTCAAATACTCCTAAGTACGCCCACATCACCCATGTCCTTTACTTGCTACACTGGTTACCAGTGCAGTTCAGAGTTGATTTCAAGGTATTATCATTTGTATTTAAGTTTATTAATGGTCTCACTCCACCATACCTGTCTGACCTGCTGTCCATTCGCACTCCACCTAGGGCTCTACACTCCTCAGAGAACGTGTCCTTGGTTGTCCCGCGGACAAGCTATAATAAATGGGGTGATCGTTCATTTGCTGTGTATTGCCCTAGGTTCTGGAACTCCTTACCGCCAGAGTTACAGTCGATAACTGAGCTATCATCCTTTAAGTCAAAACTAAAAACTCATCTCTTTAGACAGGTTTTCTGTGTCTAACGGGCTCCAGTGGCATCATGTTGATGTCTTTTAGTTTGCTGTTTTATATTTATACTTTGATATGGAAGTCTCCCATTAGCTTTTGATATTATATCGTGTGTTTTATTTTGCTCTTGGTTTTATTGTTTATGTAGCTGGTTTCATATTCCTAATATATGTTTTTCTGTGAACCACTCTGGGCTCCTCTGGAGTTGTAAAGTGCTATAAAAATAAAGTATTATTATTATTATTATTACTGTCTACAATGGAGGTGGTGTGCTGCTGACCTCAACTGAGGATGTTGTAGGCCGGTGGAAAGAGTACTTTTAAGATCTCCGACATGCCTTCTGTAAAGGAAGCCAGGGCTGGGGACTTGGGAGGGGACTTGTCCATTACCCTGGCTGACGTTGCCAAGGTAGTTAAGGAACTCCTCGGTGGCAAGGTTCTGGGGGTGAAGGTCCGACCCGTGTTTCTCATGTCTATGGATGTTGTGGTGCTGTCTTGGCTGACACGCCACTGCAGCATTGTGTGGCGCTCGGGAACGGTGCCTCTGGACTGGCAGACCGGGGTGGTGGTCCCCCTTTTTAAGAAGGGGGACCGGAGAGTGTGTTCCAACTATAGGGGGATTACACTCCTCAGCCTCCCCGGGAAAGTCTATGCCAGGGTACTGGAGAGGAGAATCCGGCCGATAGTCGAACCTTGGATTCAGGAGGAACAATGCGGTTTTCATCTCGACCGTGGAACACTGGGCCAGCTCTATACTCTCACTAGGATGTTGGAGGGTTCATGGGAGTTTGCCCAACCAGTCTACATGTGTTTTGTGGATCTGGAGAAGGCATTCGACCGTGTCCCTCGTGGCATCCTGTGGGAGGTACTTCGGGATTATGGGGTGTGAGGCTTGTTGTTACAGGCTGTCTGTTCCCTGTATGACCGGAGTAAGGAGCTTGGTTCGCATTGCCAGCAGTAAGTCAGATCTGTTTCCAGACTATATGTAACATACACATATACATACAGTATGTGTGTGTGCATGCATGTACAGTTCTCTTACAAAGCTGGAGGTGTCAAGCTTCTTTCGGCGGGCCAGGTCTGTTATGTTGTCTCCATTGTAGTTGATACTCTCCATGCAGCCTTTAAAATTCTTCCTTCCTCCTCCCACTGGCTTCCCACTGTACGGCATACCCCCAAAACTCAACTAGGGTCAGAGTGAGAGAGAAAGAGAGAGGGCAAAGCGGTTAAAAAAATCCCCAAATGGTACAATGCTACAATTATCTCAGTTAATATTCAATTTATATTGAAATTTTAACATCATACTAATTGAAATAATCCATTCTACAGTGTTTTGTTTATGGTAAATACTTTCTGTTCTGGCAAACCTACAAGAAAATGAACCATTTAAAGCCAAATGAGTACCTATAATGAAGATATGGGCAGATTAAATATAGTTTTTAAAATTTAGGTTTTAAAAAATGTGGTTGCATCAAAAGGTTAGTCAGAAGGCACCTTTAGGCAAGGTGTGTGAATGACAGATTGACAGACTGGGGGTTAGATGTATAAACCCTGCAGATTCATGATCAGTGGAATGAAATTTATTGGATATTTCAAACTTTTTTAACAAATAAAAAACTGAATAATTGGGCGTGCAAAATTATTCAGCCCCTTTACTTTCAGTGCAGCAAACTCTCTCCAGAAGTTCAGTGAGGATCTCTGAATGATCCAATGTTGACCTAAATGACTAATGATGATAAATAGAATCCACCTGTGTGTAATCAAGTCTCCGTATAAATGCACCTGCACTGTGATAGTCTCAGAGGTCTGTTTAAAGCGCAGAGAGCATCATGAAGAACAAGGAACACACCAGGCAGGTCTGAGATACTGTTGTGGAGAAGTTTAAAGCCGGATTTGGATACAAAAAGATTTCCCAAGCTTTAAACATCCCAAGGAGCACTGTGCAAGCGATAATATTGAAATGGAAGGAGTATCAGACCACTGCAAATCTACCAAGACCTGGCCGTCCCTCTAAACTTTCAGCTCATACAAGGAGAAGACTGATCAGAGATGCAGCCAAGAGGCCCATGATCACTCTGGATGAACTGCAGAGATCTACAGCTGAGGTGGGAGACTCTGTCCATAGGACAACAATCAGTCGTATACTGCACAAATCTGGCCTTTATGGAAGAGTGGCAAGAAGAAAGCCATTTCTTAAAGATATCCATAAAAAGTGTCGTTTAAAGTTTGCCACAAGCCACCTGGGAGACACACCAAACATGTGGAAGAAGGTGCTCTGGTCAGATGAAACCAAAATCGAACTTTTTGGCAACAATGCAAAACGTTATGTTTGGCGTAAAAGCAACACAGCTCATCACCCTGAACACACCATGCCCACTGTCAAACATGGTGGTGGCAGCATCGTGGTTTGGGCCTGCTTTTCTTCAGCAGGGACAGGGAAGATGGTTATAATTGATGGGAAGATGGATGGAGCCAAATACAGGACCATTCTGGAAGGAAACCTGATGGAGTCTGCAAAAGACCTGATACTGGGACGGAGATTTGTCTTCCAACAAGACAATGATCCAAAACATAAAGCAAAATCTACAATGGAATGGTTCACAAATACACATATCCAGGTGTTAGAATGGCCAAGTCAAAGTCCAGACCTGAATCCACTCGAGAATCTGTGGAAAGAACTGAAAACTGCTGTTCACAAACGCTCTCTATCCAACCTCACTGAGCTCGAGCTGTTTTGCAAGGAGGAATGGGCAAAAATTTCCGTCTCTCGATGTGCAAAACTGATAGAGACATACCCCAAGCGACTTACAGCTGTAATCGGAGCAAAAGGTGGCGCTACAAAGTATTAACTTAAGGGGGCTGAATAATTTTGCACGGCCAATTTTTCAGTTTTTTATTTGTTAAAAAAGTTTGAAATATCCAATAAATTTCGTTCCACTTCATGATTGTGTCCCACTTGTTGTTGATTCTTCACAAAAAAATACAGTTTTATATCTTTATGTTTGAAGCCTGAAATGTGGCAAAAGGTCGCAAAGTTCATGGGGGCCGAATACTTTCGCAAGGCACTGTATGCACAGACCTGGTTCTGTGTCATAAATCCCAGTGGAACTGGACGCACATGCATGACCCAAATTTTCACTCCCATAGTTTGGCATAAATGTACAAAGACACTTATTTACTATAACAGCTGAGTATGAAATTAAAAGACCATTGACAGAGAAAGAATCTTATAAATGAACCTTTGATCAACAGAACAGAGCAGAAAAAGACATGCACATTTTTGGGCGTACGCAATGATTATACATACCTACATACCACAGGTCCTATTCAAAGTCGGTATTCTGATTTTATGCCTGCTCTTGGTGTCCTAGTGTGTGTGTGTATGTGTGTTTGTGAGAAACAGAGCAATAAAGCAGTTTGACAAACCATTAAAGGGAGAACACAGTGTTTTTTTTGGGAATAGATGCAGTCAAAAGATAAGAGGTGAGGAGATGAGGAGTTTTAGGCTAATAAACAGTCATGTGGTGGGAAGCGCTGAAGGCCACAGAACAGATGAAAATGCTAACTGTTTTTCAAATTTTTCTACACTTGTACATGTGTTCAGTTTTGTTTTAAGACATCGCTCTGAGGGAAGACAAAATGATGGAGGGTGGTGTGCAATTACCAGTCAATATGTGTCTATTTGTAAGTGTGTGTCTGTGTGTTAGTATGTGTCTGTGGCGACGCTCCAGTAGTCTTAGTAATTACTGCCAAGGGTAGATACAAATGTACCCGGATATTTAGTCTGCAGGCTTAAATGGGATCAGAAGACTCACAGATGTGGACTCACACACACACACACACATTTGTCTTCATTTCTCATGGGGACATTACATTGACTTACATTCATTTCCTGGAGACTTACCCTAACCTTAGCCATAATCACTACTTACCTAATCCTAAGTCTTACCCTACCATTGAACTAAGTCATCACTCTAAAATTCAATGATGCTGGGGGCCAGCATCTGGTTCAGTGGTGCACTTTTCAACATGCTGGTCACAGTTTCACTATTTATAGATATTCAAGTCAGGATCAATTCTGCCTTTCCCACAGAGACAACACACACAGACTTACACATACATACAAAACCTCCTGGTTCATGTAGTTGTACAAATTTCCCAGAAGATCCCTTAATTCAACACCTTCAGTTTAATTGTGCTGTGGTTTGTTGTGCCCCATTCCTCAGTATTCTACTTAACACTAGAATAGATGAGCCATATCAACAATACCCAGTAAAAATCATACACTCGCACACAAACTTATCGATGTAAACGCACATACATGCAAACATTCATACAGTTTATGGCTTCATCATACACAGGTGCACACACTCACATTACACATAGGTTCATTTCATGACCTTTATGTATTCCAAGATCAAGTTTCTATTTTAAGTATTATTGGCTGAACTCTTTGTGTTCCATTACTGACAGGCATTAATTACTGTATGTGAGTGTTATGGATTTGCCTAATATAACACCGATATCTAATTTCTTGTATGGTATCAAGGTATAATCAGAGGATGCTAAACTACCCCCAGTGCTGAGTAATTGTTTTAAATGCAATCATAAAATCAGCAAAGTGCATAAGGACACCTACAGGAAAACACCTAATGTCATAGAAAATTGAAGATAACAACTGTGTGGAGTGATTAGGTCATAGCCAAGAGGCCATCTACAGTTATCTACATAAGCCAGTCACATGAGGTGGTGTTTAAATCACCTCAATTATATTTTTAATAGTAAAAAGACTAAGTGCCACAGCTACTAGCATACACTGCCAGTTATAGGCCAGCTGTGAAAACTATTAATAACTAATAGGCTAATTAATACTTTACATACAGTCAGTGCCCGTTCAAGTTTTTTTGTTATGTTTCAGACTCATCTTAAAATGGATTCAACTTATCATCCTACTTCTATCACTGGTTGTTGAGATGCTTCTACAGCTTGATTAGAGTCCACCTGTGCCTAATTTAATGCACTGAATATAATTAGGAAAGGCACACACCTGTCTATATAAAGTATCATAGTGGATGATGTATGACAGAGTGAAAATAAAGCCAACCCAGCGGTCACTATGAATGAGATCCAGAGTTTCTTTCAGGAGATAAGAGAACCTTACAGAAGGACAACCATCAGTGCAGCACTCCACCAATCAGGTCTCTATGGTAGAGTGACCAGGTGGAAGCCATTCCACACTAAAAGGCACATGACAGCCCACTGGGAGTTTCCCAAAAGGCACCTGAAGGACTCTCAGACTCTCAGACCCTCTTGTCTGATGACACAAAGATTGAACTATTTGGCCACAGTTCCCAACGGTGTATGTGGAGAAAACCAGGCACTGAGCATCACCTCATTAATACCATCCCTACAATCAAACATGGTGGTGGCAGCATCATGCTGTGGGGATATTTTTCTGCATCTAGAACCGGGAGACTAGTCAGGATAGAGGGAAGGATGGATGCAGAAAAGTATAAAGCAATTCTAAAACCTCCAGAGTGCTCAGTGTGGGGGTGAAGGTTTACATTTCAAAAAGAAAAAGACCTGCAGCAAATCACCAAGAAAACACAGAAGTAGCTGTGGGAAAACTCTGTGAAAGTCGTGGAGTGGCCCGGCCAGACTGACCTTGAACAATTCTGCCAAGAAGAATGGAAAAAAAAATTCTAAAAGAAAGGTGTGCCAGGCTTGCCGCTTCAATCTCAAGCAGACTTGAGGCTGTCTATGGTGCCAAAGGTGCTTTAACCAAGTTCTAAGTAAAGGGTCTGGATAAGAAGGAAAATGGGATATTTCAGTCTTTTATTTTTAATAAATTTTCAAAACATTTGAAAAGCCTGCTGTCACTTTATCATTGTACACTATTGTGTGTAGATTGATGAGGAAAAAAATATTTAATCAATTTTAAGATGTCAGAAACATAACAAAATGTGGAAAACTTAAGAGTCTGAAAACCTTCCATACTGACTGTATATGAAAATGCTAATTTGTCTTAAAATTATGTGTATGTAATATATCCTTTAAAATACTTTTAAGCTAAAATGATAAAAATGCCTAAATCATGATTGTTAACTATTTTTTACACTATTGACACTTCAACAGAAATAACCTTGGAAATCAACTGGACTTGGAATTTTGATTTCCAAGGTTATTTTGGTTGCGGTTTACTATGACCTGGATGACTGAGAATCTGCACAGATACTATTGACACTTAAGTGCAAGGTCACATAAGCACTAGCTAGTCAAAGATACACATTCAATACAAGTTAACTTACATATATTTGACTTTGGCAGCTCAATTTACTTGGCTAACAACATCAACCAAGCTTTTACATTCGCTCTACTCAATTCTACATTAGTTTCAATTCATTATTCTTACTTACCTGCAAAACATCACAGACAAATAACACTATATTGTTTTGTGTTAGTCGTTCTTTGTGTCTTTTAGTGCACATATACAAACAGAAGCTCTTACGTGTTATGTGGCTTCCTGTGGATAACAACGATAACATCACCTTACCAATTCCATTGCTGCAATGCACTCTGTCTGCTTTTAAAAAACTGGAGCACAACAAATTTTACAACAATTTAAAAAGCATAACATTTAAGTAATTATGAAAATTGTATTTCATTTTTTTATTTAACCTTTGTTTTACCTTTATTTTATTAAACCCCACTGTGATTAAAAACTCGTTTTATTTTTACTAAAAATGTAGACAAAATTTAAAATGGCAAAACACCACATTGTATACATGACACCTCCTTTGTTTGTTTGGACATGTACAGAATTTATCTGATTAGGATTTGGGGTTGAACTCATTTCTTCATCTATTTCCAAGGGTGGACTACCATTCTTCGTCTATATTTCACATTCAGTTCACACTCCTGTCTGTATACTCAGCATATTTTGCTTCTCACCTCATAGTCCAGATCAAGGTGGTCAAACTCTCCATTGGTCCTGAAGTGCTGCATATGCCTGTCTAGGGTGAAGTTGACATTACGACGGTACCGTTCAATCACCACTGAGTGCCAGTGGTTGTCATCCAACAGGCTGCCAGTAGTCACAGAGGTGTGACCCAGGATAGAACCATACTGGTTACTGCCTGTAAATAACATTTTATATATATATAAAAAAAAAACAAGTTAAAAAATAGATGTTACTGCCTGCAAATAACATTTTATATATATATAAAAAAAAAACAAGTTAAAAAATAGATGTGGTACTTGGTAAATACATTAGCATATTTTTACAAGATAAAAATCAATGAACAAAAAAAGCTTATGTGACCCCTCTGGCATGGATTTGCCAAAATAGTCAGGCATTGTTTCAGTGCTTCACGAAAAGCAACCTGACTATATCAATACCTTCTACATAAGCTTCCTCAATATGTTTTGCATACAGCTTGTTGGGCCGGCAGCTGTGACTGTGCTTTAATTTTTGGCCCTTGTGTGATTTGAGTTTTACACTCCTGCTGTATATGAAGAAATGACACTTGGCTACAATGTAAAGTAGTGAGTCTACAGCTTGTATAACAGTGTAAATGTACTGTCCCCTCAAAATAACGCAACACACAGCCATTAATGTCTAAACTGCTGGCAACAAAAGTGAGTATACCCCTAAGTGATAATGGCCAAATGGGGCCCAAGTAGCTGTTTGCCCTCCCTGGTGTCATGTGACTCGTTAGTGGTACAAGGTCTCAGGTGTGAAGGAGGAGCAGGTGTGTTAAAAATTCTGTTATCACTCTCACTCTCTCATACTAGTCACTGGAAGTTCAACATGGCACCTCATGGCAATGAACTCTCTGGATCTGAAAAAACTAATTGTTGCTCTACATAAAGATGGCCTAGGCTATAAGAAGACTGCCAAGACCCTGAAACGGAGCTGCAGCACGGTGGCCAAGACCATACAGCGGTTTAACAGGACAGGTTCCACTCAGAACAGGCCTCGCTGTGGTCGACCAAGGAAGTTGTGTGCCCGTGCTCAGCGTCATATCCAGAGGATGGCTTTGGGAAATAGGCGTATGAGTGCTGCCAGCATTGCTGCAGAGGTTGAAGGGGTGGGGGGTCAGCCTGTCAGCGCTCAGACCATACGCCGCACGCTGCATCAAATTGGTCTGCAAGGTTGTCGTCCCAGAAGGAAGCCTCTTCTAAAGATGATGCACAAGAAAGCCCGCAAACGGTTTGCTGCAGACAAGCAGACTAAGGATATGGATTTCTGGAACCATGTCCTGTGGTCCGATGAGACCAAGATAAACTTATTTGGTTCAGATGGTGTCAAGTGTGTGTGGCGGCAACCAGGTGAAGAGTACAAAGACAAGTGTGTCTTGCCTACAGTCAAGTATGGTGGTGGGAATGTCATGGTCTGGGGCTGCATGAGTGCTGCCGGCACTGGGGAGCTACAGTTCATTGAGGGAACCATGAATGCCAACATGTACTGTGACATACTGAAGCAGAGCATGATTCCTTCCCTTCGGAGACTGGGTCGCAGGGCAGTATTCCAACACGATAACGACCCCAAACACACCTCCAAAATGACCACTGCCTTGTTAAAGAAGCTAAGGGTAAAGGTGATGGACTGGCCAAGCATGTCTCCAGACCTAAACTCTATTGAGCATCTGTGGGGCATCCTGAAACGGAAGGTGGAGGTGCGCAAGGTCTCTAACATCCACCAACGCCGTGATGTCATCAAGGAGGAGTGGAAGAGGATTCCAGTGGCAACCTGTGAAGCTCTGGTGAACTCTATGCCCAAGAAGGTTAAGGCAGTGCTGGAAAATAATGGTGGCCACACAAAATATTGACACTTTGGGCCCCATTTGGCCATTATCACTTAGGGGTATACTCACTTTTGTTGCCAGCAGTTTAGACATTAATGGCTGTGTGTTGCGTTATTTTGAGGGGACAGTACATTTACACTGTTATACAAGCTGTAGACTCACTACTTTACATTGTAGCCAAGTGTCATTTCTTCATATACAGCAGGAGTGTAAAACTCAAATCACACAAGGGCCAAAAATTAAAGCACAGTCACAGCTGCAGGCCAAACAGGATTAACATTTATTGATCAGTGTAAAGCTGACAATGATTTAACCAGAAATATGAACTTGAACAAATTGCAACAACTTTTTCCTCAATAAAATAAATTTGAAACATTCAGTTCAACATATTTTTCCTATATAAATTAGTATTTCTCATTTCCACTTGTCGGGAAGTTGCTGGTTAAATGCCAATAGTTCGCGAGTCCCGAAATCGACGTGCATTGTGGCAGATGTAGTTTATGGTCAGTATACAGTTTCAATTAGTACAGACTTTTATCTTAAGATAACCATATGCATTTTAAGCTTTCGAGGGCCACATAAAATGATCCGGTGGGTCGCATTCGGCCCGTGGGGCTTGGGTTTGACACCTATGATATACAGCATTAGACTTCATTTAGTTAACACTGGGAATTCTCTGCCACAGTTGTTGCTTCTGTGTTTCAGAAAGACATCCTTGGAGATTATACCAGTTCTGTCAACAACACAGCTGGCTGACAGCTGGTGAATGATGCTCCACACGCGTATGGATTGTAGTGGATGTTGTTTACAGTGTAAAAAGTAAAACACTGTGCCTGGACATTTTATCTTTGCTCTAAAATAAAGTTATCTCAACAGACATGACACCACTTTTGGGTTATATTTAGGGTTATTGTCAAGCCTATAATGATGATATTATTCTAGTCACCTGTTGTGATTATAGCTGCATTTATCACACTAGCTATCTATTAAACCCAACTAACAGACAAACCAGAGAAGGATTTCACCTGGTATAGTATCTTGGCCTTAGATACTTAATATAATTTGGATATTTCTGATCATTTAAAAACTGGGTAATTTGTATTTGGTCTGTGTAAATGAATTGCATGTGTTGCCCACCTAGGTTTATCTGCAACAGCAGCTTGGCCTTGCGAAGCTCCAGGGTGATGTAATCTCCCTGCTGGCCCTCCCCGTGGAGAATCACACCCTCGCTTTCTGATGTCTTGAACCTCAGGGCAATCACATCCTTAATGATCTTCATTTTCTTCACCTGCACAAGTGTGAACACACACCATGAACCCCATATGGTTGTTTAATGCCACAGGTGGCTCAGGTTCAATTAAAAACTGCAAATCAACTTTCTTTACTTTGTCTAGTCTCCTGACAGCCTGTTCAAAATCTCCATCAAATGATTGATTTTCCATCATATTATATTGCTATTCAAGATGTAGCCTTTATGTACGGTACTAGAATGATCGTGTCTGACTTAAAGGCAAGGTTTAGTCAATATAACAGAATATCAAGGTAGTAAATTCATTACCTTAAAACGATATGAGATTACTCCCTGTCCATCAAAGTTGATTATATCTGCCCCTAAAACAGACATTAGATGGAAAGACAGAAAGAATAAACACAGAAGCAAAGAAGAAACACATGTGAAAGGGACAGGAAGAGACAAAAAGAAAAGGCAAGATGTGATTGCAAAGTCAGGACCGCCATCCCAATTTACAAGCATATTGAGGCCTACACTCATGAAATATGCATTCCCAGCTATTGAGTTATATCAACAGTATATTGTCAAGTCCACAGTAATTAAAAAAAGATTTGTTTACCATGCTAATGATCTGATAATAGGTGAAGAGGCAAAGAGCCTGTTGAAATAATATCTCATATCTCCTGACTGTCCTTGCCATCTGAATGTGTAGGAGGTCTGTGCATTAAAAAGTCAATGTTACAGGTTTCTGTTGCTGCAATAAAAATTTTATAGTCTAAAATTATATTGTACCAAATATGGCCTTTTCACAGAAGACACTCTGGCAAATTACAGTAGTAAAGACACAGGTGTCAAAATGCATTTGCTAATAGCTGAATTCCATTTAGCTGCTTTGGTTTCAGGGTTCTGGTATTGTACATGCCCACTGTAATCTCTTACTTGGAACATTAAATAAAAATAAAATAAATAAAACAAATCCATCATTAATACTATTATTCACACTTGCTTTGTATGACAAGTCAAAATGTGTGCTGTAAAAAACCCTCTACAAGAAATAATAAAAACAAGGTTGAATGCAAAATGATGCAAAACCGATGCAAATGTAAAACAGTTCTGCTGTGAAAAATACTCCTAGTGAACAAGTGTTGACAGTAAATAAATAATTTCCATTGAAAGTCATACATTAAAATTTAATGGTGTGAATTCATAGATTTCTGAAGAATGAGTGAAGGTATTATACATGTGAGGCCATAACAAAAGATATTAAATCTCCTATGGAGAAACACCCACAGAGGTGTTTTCACTTGTTTTGGCGGAGGCTTTATTGAAACCAAATGTGTTAATATGCAGGCATGTTTAAACATATTTATAGTAATATGTAAAATGCTACAGTAGGTGTTAGAGAAAAAAGAAAAAAAATAAAGTGAGAGCTTATGTGTAACAGGGGACAATGTCTTGCTTTCTATCCAGGGCACTGTGATGGGAGGGTCAGAAGATGGTTTTTAGACCCTGACCCAGGAGACCATGCCATTTTGGACCCTGACCTATATTTTACTTTTCCACCACAGATGTTTAGTGACAGAGGGTGACTGAGATGGACAATTGCATGTGACAGCCAATATAAGCTTCACATAGATGATACTGGCAGTTATTACTCATCAGGGGCTGAAAATTACAAGTTGATTTCAGTATGTTACCATCATAGTACCTTCAAAACTTTAAGGGTGATGCAACAATGAAAAGCAACAATTTTATGATGGTTGACAGTAGGCTTTGGCAATGCAAGAAAATAAATCAAGTTTATTTTTACTGAGATATCACACTTGAAATCATAATACATTTAGGAAATTAATTATGAAACCATGCAGGTCCATGAGAGACGCTAAGGCAGGGACATACTCCACCAGGCCCACCAAACTCACATGGCCTGGTTTGTCCATTCTGGGCTACTGTAGCAACATGGTGGCACAATGTGGCAGTCTCCATAAAAGTGGCCCTGCTCCATATAAAAAGACTAATTCTAAGTAAAAGAAAACATTATGATTTTTAAAATATATCATATTGCATCTTTAAATTACTTTTGGCATAAATAGGGCACAGGCTGAAGTCATATAATACTGAAAATCTACTTGCATGAAAATGACTGTATTTGTTTAGAAAATTTAATTTGTACTCTGTTTTTGTCTGACTCCCCTTTCTCTCACATATATGCCCTACAATTTCCTGACTCATCTATAAAATAATTGATTTTCTGTTAATCCTATGTTAATCAAAATGGAAATGAGCATGTAATTCCACAGCATGGTAGATCACGACTCCTTTATAGCCTCTAGCTCTGGCACACATACACACATAGCCTTTCATTGCATAGCCCTAGATGAGTCATAATTTGGTATTGCATTTAATTATCATACATTTTCAAAACCCTGAATTATCATCTACAACCAACATATTTGGTGATTATGCTGGGAACATACCATCTATATTTATCTGCCTCCTTCTCCTCCTACTACTTTTCTTTTGTGTGTAATTCTTTCATCCCCTTTTCTCAGTCACTTCCCAACACTGTAAATTTCCTCTCTTTCATGTTTGTATTGAGAGGCAGAAAAGCATTTATGAGAAGTTAATTCTAAAAGAAGCAGCGAGTTGGGGAGTGGAGGATGGATAGATGAAAAGACAAATGTATGAGCTCCCATTTCCTTACTGAATGCTGAAGAAAGGAGCAGTGATGGAGTAAACATGAGAAAGCACCACAGGCTTCAAAACACAGCTGACAGACAACTCTGAAAGATGATGATACAACTTAAAAGTGCGTGTGTGTGTGTGTGTGTGTGTGTGTAAATCTCTCTCTTTCTGTCATCACTTATATACAAATTGTAAGCATGTGTTCACCTGATTGTGTATTTATGAGTCTAATCATGTCTACCAAATGGTTCGTCTATCTTGTTGCATCAGAGGATACCAAGGAAAGATATGCATTTAAATAACTGAGTGTTATTTTAATATAAAAAAGCAAGCTAGGTAGGACCCACATGGTCTGTTTTGTCATTTGTTATTACACACAAGTGAAGCACATTTACAGCTGTTAAACACGATGACTGTTCTGCTACTGGTCCCCCCGGAGCATGTGCTGGCTAAGGTCACGTCAGCAGTAAAGAGTGTAACCATCTATTCCTGTCCAGATTTAGCTGAACTCCAGTCTAATTCTAGAGCTGTGTATGTTGCATTGGACATTCTCTGCTCTACTGTATTCTTATTATTTGCTATATGGTTGGCTAAAAGGGAATATTTCTGTATTCTGAAAATCAAGACCAACACCACCCCTGCAGTGAATCCTCATTTCATTAAGATGATAATGTATAGCTTTTGTTCAAACAGTTTCTAGAGAGGTGTTGATGTAACTGTATTTTCATTTTGCTGTGATTTGTGCTGTTGCGAAACTGCACCGCATTACTGAGTGGATCAGAAGTGATAAAACTTGTTTTATAAGGGACGACCTCCATTAAATAATGCTTGACTGCTCCTAATGTGGACATCCTACATTAACTCATAGTTCTAAGAGAGACAGATGAGTGATTAACTCGTGACAGATGACAAAACCATGCTCAATTCTCATTAGCTGTATTACAGATATGTTCATGCATCCCTCTGCATCCCCCTTTCTAAATGTTGCTATGACAACATCCTCTTATCAAAGCTTGTGTGACTTCTCATACTGTTCCTTAAGTTGTTCCATTTGCCTACTTCAACATTTCAGGTTAGAGGTGAATCAAGTATCACATCTTTTTAATCAACTTATTAACAAAATCTTTGTTTTCCACAACATGAGCTTATTATTCATCAGTCATTTTAATATAATCATGATGATTTTAACAATAATACTCAATAAAGCACCTCCCTTTATTAACATACCTACAGTATTTAATGGCCAACATAATTAACATTACTTTTTACTTATGCTACTTTAATATTTCAAAGTCATCTTTTAATCTAGCCTCCATCTGGTCTAACTGTTGCTTTCTTGGCAAAATGTCTCTTGATCTTCAGACCCTGAATCCTCCTTTGTCAGTGTCATTCTTAGTATTGGAGACAAGCAGGTGGCATTGATAAGCTATTATGTATCTCCTGTTGTAACATGGCCCTGCTGTTGTTCTTCTCCTCTGACAGTTTTCTCCTCTGAGCTGGTTCTAATCTGACTTTTTTACATTAGGAGGGCTTGTTTTTCAAACCAGTTCCTTTTTGCAAGCCCTTTAGGCCTTCTGTATTTACCACTGACATCAATTTTTGTAGTCTCTTTGACTAACCATTATTGCATTACATGGAAAAAAAGCCTGTGCATAACAGTATAACATGCATTTCAATAGACCTGTTGCGGAAGCATTTGTAATACTTTAAAACCTGAGAAGTGACAAATAAATAACTGACAAATACCTTACAAGTCAGTGCAGATACTTCAAAATGAATAAACCAGATCCAATCCAATCTTCTGTCAGTCTAGCCTAGTCACTCTAAGTACAGTATACTTCCTTTACATTTGATGAGCTAGTGGCACACAAACTCATAACAGTAAATAATTAGCAGTTATAGACAATGGCTGCATCTCATGTCTCTTATACTGTATGGTTGTTCTTTGGTCCCTGGTCCTTGCTTGATCTGGGGGTCATTCCAGTTCAGTGAGGATGTAAAATGTACCAAGACATATTGTATCTGCTCTGAGCGAGGAGGCTGCACAAGAGCATTCTTCAAAGAAATCTCTTACGGACCAAGACACCTCTTTATTGGAAGTCAGTCGGTGACCGGATGCTTCAAATACAGAATTAGACTAAAAAACATATCATGTCTCAAAATACATGTTTCCTTAACTGCTCTCTCCTTGCATATTTTTCCTCGTATCTTTTCTTCACATCTTGCGTCAGCAGGTCTAAGACACAAGGAAAAGACACAACTGAGGGAAATGTTGGTGCTTATAAGAAACTTGGGATGTACCCCCCTGTTTCAGGTTACAAAGTCCTGCTTTGTGAGTAAATATTGCTCATAGGTTATGAAAAGATCTGAGAGGTCCTGCACTAATTGCTAGTGTGTTATGAAATGCAAACATAATAGAGTTGTTATGGTGAACATGTAAGATACCATTTAAATCTGTAGAAGCTTAAAAGTGCTTTTAACGGAGATGTGACAATACCATTGCAAATATGCCGAAATGAAATTCTGTTTTCAGCTTTTATAGTCTGTAGTTAAGACCAATGAGACTAACACTAATAATGTATATAGGTTCAAGCAATTCCTGTTAAAATTAAAGGAACAACTTGAAGCACAAAGTCAAATGTAAATGATGGGAATAATTTTTGTGTTTCATTGTTCTTTACATCAGTTCATACACATGCATCTGTTTCTACCCTATCTTGTCATGCTCTTCATTTCTGACTTGCTTTTCATTTAACATTGGGCAGAAATGAAACAAGGGAAATATATTCAAAACTCAGAGGACTATATTAAATATGATACATACCCTTGTATTCAAACACAGAGACACACTCCCTGACATATCCGTACTCAGTGTAATCGCATCTCCGGAATGAACAGTACGTTTGTCACTTATAACAGTAATTTATGCAGAGCCTTAATTGAAAAATTGTTATCAAAATCAATTTGGCAACCTTTAATAGGATGAGAGAGCAAAGAGGGTATGAGAGAGTCAGTTTCATAGATGAGGCATTTGTTAGAAAAATGACAGTGTGTGTGTGTATATGTGTCTGTCAGTCTGTAACAGTGCTCTGCGTCTTTCTGCACACTTTTTGTGAATGTGTCCAGTCAGGTTTCCACACCGAGTTTGTGTTTGATTCCTGTACAGAATTTTCTAATAAGGAAGTAAAACCTTTTCTGACTTGATTGGACTGACAAACCATTATTAGGCTCTCCCCATGGATCCATTATTATAAATGTTAATACCTGTTGCAGTATGAACAGGTTCACAGTGTATGTTAGTGTGTCTGTGTGTGTTTGTCTCCACTCACAGTAGGAGCAGCCATAGACTTCTATGCGCAGACCAATCCGCCCCTCCTCGCTCCAGTCTAGCGGGACAAACCTCAGGAAGCGAGCCACGATTCCCTGCTGCAAGTCATGGCGGACCACGCTCTCAGAATTAGAGTTCCCAGAGAAGGCCTATAAGCACAAACAGGCACACACACAGAAACATACATGCTGAATTTAAGTACGTCAAAGTCACAAGCCTGCGGTCAAACAAGCAGCTTCAGGACTTATAGTAAGATTATTTGTTGCGCTCACCACAACCTGCCCTAAAGGTACACAAAACACTAAATAATTATGAGTCTTCATATCTAAAATGCCCACTATAAGCAAGGGATTTGAAGAGGAAACTGCACATTGTATTTGAAAGTGCATGTAAGAAACTCCCTGGTCACATCATTTCATATTTAAGCTGATTTGTAGGTCCCTGAAGATTCATAAAGGCTTCTAACTGATGGGTTTTGTAGCTCCTTGCTCTTTAGCACTGTGTTCTGTGAAAACAACATATTGTCTAGAAACAAAACAAGTACTGTATGAACAAAGCCAGTGAAAATAGTATCTCTCTCTCTCTCTCTCTTTTTCTGTGTAAAACCACCTTTAAGGAATACAGTTTAATATTCCCTGTTGTGTCTGGATCGGCAGCATGGCAGCAGTTCACCAATGAAGGTAACAGACTTTGTAATAAGTTGACAAGAAAAAGGCAGCACAAATAATCCCAAGCTGTATTTATTGCTTCTTCTGAAATGTAATGGCTCTGATACACTAAAAGAGCAACATTTACTTAGATCACTCAAATATTTCACTTCAGGGAACATTAATTGCATGACTTAAATTTTTATTGTGATTTGATCAGTACTTTTCCCCAATTTCTGTAAAGCAATGGTATTAGCAAATCTAGTTTAAGAGGGGTAGCTGAATGCATAAATGTAAAACAAAAGATACAAAGCCTTCAGAAAAGCATTTCTTAACATTATCTTATATTTTGATGCATCTTTTTATATTTTCCTGTTCTTATTTTGTCCTCTCCTTTGCTCCTTCTGTCCTTGACCTGGCACATAATGTACACAGCCTCTAACCTCCCACCAGTCCAGCTCACAAATGCTCCTGAGCTATTTTCACTTCTGCGTTCTCCTTTCCTTGCTGAAAATAAACATACACAGCACCACCCTGTGACCCTGTTTTCTTCTACACACTTATTTACAGAAGAATTGGCACAAACCATTGGGGAGAAGAATCATTACTAGCCTAGCAGGTAACTAGACTAGAGCAAGACATTAAACAGCCATGTGTTATTCGAGATAAGACATGAAGTGGGAAGGCCAGTGGATAAGTGTTGGGGGGCTCAGCTCAGACTGCTTTGAGCCGACTCCTCTGTAACACAAGTATGTGGCCCCTGAAGATGTGCTATCTGCAAAGGAGGAGATGGTCAAGGGTTCACACTAAGCTCAGAGCTACCTAACTTCTGCTATAGCAAGGGAGTGACATGAAATGAACAGTGACTATCTCCTCTGTACCTTTCCCTCACTTTTATTTTAGTTGTTATCTATGCAAGAAAGGTTAACAGAGTGGATAAACATATGCAAACCTTTTTATTAGTGTCCTGCTTCCCTACAAGTGCACAGGTCCTGTGACCTGCTCAGGGACTGCTACTGTATGTTTTTGAGTGACAGGGTTGCAAATACACTGCATTACATTTCTAGTTAATGTTAAAATGCATGACCAGGATAAAGTGTTTATGTGGGAGTTGTTTTGTTTTTTTTACCTTTTCCTGCATAAGTTGTGGATACTTTTAATAGCAAGTGAAGTGTCAATAAATACACCCAGTGGTGGTGAACCCTTTCTAAGTCAATGCATCTCTATGAGATCAAGTACAATTTAACTCAAGTGTAGGAAAACACTGTTTAACCTGTCCAAAGACTGACAACTGATTTAACGACATAAACATTTACACAAAATTATATCAGACATTCACTTCACTTGCAGTTACTTGCACACAGTATTTTGAAAAATATGTATTAACCAAAAAAGACAACAAAGTAAGGCATAGTTACAAAAACATATATCCCTACTTTAGAGAATTCCTGCTATTGCTACAGTGGGTACGGAAAGTATTCAGACCCCCTTAAATTTTTCACTCTTTGTTATATTGCAGCCATATGCTAAAATCATTTAAGTTCATTTTTTTCCTCATTAATGTACACACAGCACCCCATATTGACAGAAAAACACAGAATTTTTGACATTTTTGCAGATTTATTAAAAAAGAAAAACTGAAATATCACATGGTCATAAGTATTCAGACCCTTTGCTCAGTATTTAGTAGAAGCACCCTTTTGAGCTAATACAGCCATGAGTCTTTTTGGGAATGATGCAACAAGTTCACACCTGCATTTGGGGATCCTCTGCCATTCCTCCTTGCAGATCCTCTCCAGTTCTGTAAGGTTGGATGGTAAACTTTGGTGGACAGCCATTTTCAGGTCTCTCCAGAGATGCTCAATGGG